CTGGAACTTCAGCACTGGTCCGGTGTACCATGTTCGTTATACGGAAACTCAAGAGCACAGATGAGCGTTTTAAATTATAGGAAGGCCAAGAATCCTCGGTGTCCCATTCCTTCTTGGACAGATGTGGTTGAATCTTTTCTTGTCAATTCGCCACTTCTACAATTCGTCTTAATATTTATGAATTGGTTTCTTTGAGTCTTACTGCTGTAAAAACGGCCGCCTCGAGCAACTTCATCAATCGGAGGTAGATGCAAGATCACGCTTACACAGTGTTACGGCCTTTATATGCATACTTAAACGCATCCTTGATTTAATAATAATAATAATAGATTGGCGCTTACACATATGTTAGTGTTTGGCCGAGCTTCTCCTCCGATTTGTGGCGTGCGCCTTGATGTTGTCACACAAAGCGGAGGGACTTACAGTTTTACGCCGACTCCGAACGGCGATTGTATTTTTATGAGAAGCTGTTTTTCATGGCAGAAATACACTCGGAGGTTTGCCATTGCCTGCCGAGACGACCACTGTTAAGAAAAAACCTTTTTTCTATATTTTTGCGATGTTAATTTTACCAGGTTTTGAACCCTGTCATTGTCGAATGGAAGTGCGCACTGCTTACCACTACACCACAGCGGCCGCAGCATCTTTGATTTAGCCATCTGAAAAGTAAATTCGTCTAAGATAAACAAATCCCGTGGGGGTTTCTATATATTTTGGGTGGAGCGTCATCAATTGGGTCCCTTTTCTGCAAAACCTTTGCTTGTCATGAAATGAATACGAATTATGAATTCCAATCAGATTTTGTAAAAAATACGGATTTTCTAAATACCTAAACTCCAGCTGGTCCATTTTTATAAGCAACTCTACTCCAGCGCCACCCGCTTGTTTTCTAGTAGCCTATAATAGGACCTCCGACAATTCGACTGGGCTCTATTGAGTGGTTTTTGAGTTTAGTCCGAAAAACGGAAATGGCTATCATTTTATGTATGTAATCTTCCTTATCCTGAGTTTCGCCAGAAAAAAAAATCACGCGAAAATTTTGATTCCCCCTATAGTAAGTACATGGAATCCAAAAGCGAAAAATGAACCGGTTCAGGGAAGATGAAACTCATGATAAGGCTGAATATGTGTCGAATGAAAAAAAGTCATCATGAAAGTAATAAACCTTGCGAATGTGTGTTAACAAAATAGGGTCATAAATAGGCTTTTACAAATAACTCGACTCCAGCACCACCTAGCGGGTCCGTTTTTCGCAAGTGCTTTTTTCATCACGCTTACGAGATCGGTTCATAAATACGTCTTTTATAAATAACTCGACTCCCGCGCCACTTAGTGGGTCTATTTTTGGTAAACGTGTTTGCTATCATGCTGGTAGCTTACATTTTGAATTTAAAAGAAATCGGTTCATAAATACGATTTTTATAAATAACTCGACCACAGCGCCACCTAGCGAGTTTTATGGTAGCCTATAATAGGACCATGTATGCAAGGTATTACTTCTGAAAATTTGACTGAAATCTATTCAGTAATTTTTGAGTTAACTCCGAACAACGAAAACGGCTATTGTTTTATATATATATAGATTTCTGCACTTTAAAGGCCAATTTATATCGGAAAGAATTGTTACATGTCAACCTTATATGCGTGCGTAAAAAGCTAACTCAAATTCCAAGATTTATCTTGCGTGACATTTCGATTTGACGTTTTTGCTGAATTGGCATTTTGGCGCGACTATGAATTCAAATTCGGCAAACTTCTGTAAATTTGACAGTAATGCAACTCTGAGAAATCACGCACGCAAATTGACTTGGGCTTATCAAATGAGAAAAACTTGCGTGCTTGCGTAGAAAAACTCTCGCCGGTAATATTAGGTTGAGCTGTTAATAACATTATCCTTCACTGAGAAAAAAACCGCGTTGTAAGAATAAATATACTGGAAATATTCAATTCAAATAAGCCCGTATTAAAATGAAGCATTTTTCAAAACACGGATGGCCTTTTGCATGTCTCGGATGTTTTTCATGTGTAATTAAGAAAGTATATGTATACAAAGCATGCCCAGCGGTGACAACACATACACACATACATGGTATGACATAATGCACTAATCGCGCGCTGTTGATTCAAACTCAACATTTGAAAACACCTTTACATGTATTTCTGTAGCTGAGTGTGCAAAGACGCTTGATACAATTGGTTGCGGCCAAGATGGTCCGGGCTCAATTACCATCAGACGGAAGATAAAATCATATTTTTTTCTTCTTAATTACGAAAAAGCATCTGTGCACTTCACAACCACATATTTTGTAACGTATATACGCTGTGGTGTAGTGGTAAGCAGTGCGCGCTTCCACTCCGCAACGCCTGGGTTCAAGCCCTGGTCAAAGCAACATCGCAAAAAAATATAGAAAAAGGTTTTTTCTTAACAGCGGTCGTCCCTCGGCAGGCAATGGCAAACCTCCGAGTGTATTTCTGCCATGAAAA